CACCTCGCCCACGGACCCAGCCGAACTGGCATCCAATCAGGAGCAAATGGCTGCTGCGGCAGCGGTCGGACTGGTCAGTTCCGGTTGCCAGAGCTCCGTCGACCCAGCCGGAAGAAAGAGCCCTGCGAGGATCCTCGTCACCGCGCCACACACCAGCCGGGAATACACCTTTGCTCACTTTCACTCTCAACCTGGACAGGTGAGTTTATTTTCGCGAAGAAATAACAATGTTACTTTAACGTGTTTCTTCTTTCTGTCGACAGCAAATATTCACGTATCCTACCATCAGTTCGATGTCAGGGGTTATCTCCCCGACGAACCTCTCCTTATTTTCGTCGCCAGTTTCGGTGACAAGGCCGGTGGCCACCCAGAGATCGGTCTCCAACGTGCCACCTCGCTGGAACACCGCACCGTTCATTAATCTCGAGGACGATTACAACATGATTGCTCCGATCATCACCGGGACTGCCAGCGAACCGCCTTCCACCATGGACGAAGGTGAATATAACTTTTGTATGTTCCGATCGAAATTCAAGTTCGAATCTCCGGTTGATCGTTGTCGTCTCTTCCTTCGAAATCTCAGTTAGCCTCTAATTGCAAATAAACCGTCGCAAAAAACGTCACCTTGCAGACCGATACTTCCACCCGGTGCATGCGAGCAGCGTGGTGGACAAGAGCGGCGCTGGTAACTTGATGGGCACAGATCTGGGCGTGGCGACGGACCCGACATCGCACCACCACCAACAACAGTCCCAGCAAGCTCAGCAACAGCCTCAGCAGCAACCTCAACAACAACAACCGCCACCGCAGCAGCAACAGCAACCGCAGCAACAGCAGCAGCAACAAGTGATGCAGGACAAGAGCGGCAGACCGAAATCTCCCCCGTGACACTGGAGGCTTAGAGCGGAAAGCGTCGAGAAGCTCGCATGTTCCACGGGGTCGTTACATACCGGCGCATACGATAATTACCCTGAGCCGGAGGGGAATCGCCAGGATTCCTCGTGTCGTGTTCAGCTTCGCGACCTAAGCCTGCGGAGAATCGAGTGCCTGAGAGTCTGATCGTAGTTTAAGCGGGCCGCGTCGAGGGAACGTTCGAGGGCGCTTCCGGCGAACGGGCTTCCCCCGCCATTGCTCTGTTGAGAGGGGGTGAACACCGGGGTTAGGTCCTCGCTATGCGACCACTCGGCCCTTCTTCACCCTCTGAGGCTCGTCGGCGCCTTTCGTTCTTTCTCAATTTTATAACTTGAGAATTTTTATTTCTCCTCTGTTTGTTATTTTTCTTTGAAAGATTTGATTAGCGATAGACTATGCGTAGTCTAGTGAAAAATACTTAGTCTACTTAGGAAGTTAATTCCAATTGTTAACTGTAGCTGTGAAAAGTGTAGATTCTGTTAAAACATGAACTCGCGCGTTTATTCGTTCTTACGGCTTTGTATAATAGTATTTCGGAAGGAAAGGAAAAAAAGATCGTCTACAGTGAGAAATTTCATTTTCCTGCAAGGAACGAAGGGCATTTTTCGTCCTCGGGGGGTTAGCGTTTCGGTCAATTATTACTTCCGCGCCACCGGAAGCGTCGTTCTCCTCTCTCGACGCGCCGTTAATTTCTAACTCTTTCTCTTTCTCTTTCTCTTTCTCCTTCCTTCTCTCTTTCTCTTAAGCGTACTCGGTGGACGTGAGTAAGAACCCCTCATTTCGTCTCCTAATTGAAACGTCGCCCGATCGTCGTCGATCGGTCCCGTCGACCAATAAAATTCATAGACGATTTAAACTCGAAGAAAGGAAATAAGAAGAAGAGAACGAAACGAAAAAAGGACAAGAGAAGAACTGCAGAAAAGGAAAGAAAAGAAAAGAAAATAGCAGTAGTGTATCGTTTTCCACACGATTTTATAACGATTGTCTGTTTCCTATTCTTCCTGCTTCGAGACCCTTCCGGAACGTGTGTTTTTGTACATACACGCTCGTGGTATTTTCTAAAATTATAGAAGACGTTAGAATAGTTGCGTCTACGAGATAATACAAAAAATGAAAAAAGCAAAATACGACAGACGAACAAAAAAATATAATCTGTTGTGCTCTTCGAAAAAGGGTTTAACGACAAGGAGAAAACGAAGAGATTGAAAAAAAAAGAACTTTCTAGTGCCAATTTCGTAGTTTATAAATATTATAACGAAATTATAATTTTCTATTATATTTTTTTATAATATTTATGAAGGAACACAGACACGTATATACGTATGCACACGTACACATGCATGTTTAGATAACACGTGAGCAAATATAGTCGAGATAATGAGAAAAACTTCTTCTTCGATGAACGAGAAAGGGACATTTTTAAAATTAATCTAAAGAAAATTAAGCGAATACACGTATAAAAGAAAAAAAGAAGAGGATAGTAGATAGAGAGAAGGTCGAGAGGGTTCGATCGACGAGTATCGGTGAGAATAGAAGCTAACCGGTCCACGAACCACAGATAATAATATTAATTATAACATTAATAATAACGATGAAACGATAATTGATAACTTTATAATTGTATCGTTGATTAATCGCCTAATGCTCAGACTAGTGCTAAGACTAGTGAAAAAGAAACACAGAGGAAAACGAAAAAATAGAGAGAACGACTAGTTGCGCGGACTAGTCATCAGAGGCTGCTAGTTAGAGATAAAGTGAATATTTAATATTGATTACTATTGATAAATTAAGCGGTTAACTAAGTAAAAAGAGAGTACGATTTATTTCACGATCGATGATGATTAAGCGATATAACGGCGCGCGTAAATAAGAGGACGAAGATGCAAGTGAAACGGAAGAAAACGAAGAGGAAGAAGAGGAGGAAGAAGAGGAGAAAGTCGAAGAAAAAAGACTAGAAAACGAGACTATAAAAAGGAATTTCGGAGAAGAGAAGACGATGTTTCGAGATAGTGAGAGATCTATAGTTATTATACTACTTAGGAATTTAGTGTAACGTCGCGCAATGATAAACGAGATAATGTAACATCGAACTCGACGACAACGAAGGTCCTAAACTATAATATTGTATATTGTCCAAAAGTGCTTTCCGTCGACTGTACGTTAAATGAGGGTGTCCGACGATGCGGAGCGAATCTGTTTTTCTTTTTCTTTCTCTTTTTTTCTTGAAACTTGACTCTTTCGCTGCCAACTTTCAAGAACCAAGTCAGCCACGATATGCACTCTATCTTTTTCCAAGTTCTTAAAGGCGTATAATATCATTTTCAAAAATATTTTAAGAATTAAGAAGGAGGAGAAACTCTGATTCTGACAGCGTGAGGGTTGAAAAGCAAGCACGAGCGGCGACTTGTTCGCTTTATAATCCCTAGCGATAGCGATTCCCAAGAAACTCCTTACGTGAAATGCGTTTAATATATTCGCTAGGCGACCAGGTAGTTTTTCGAGATGATTCTTCCTGGGTTGGTGTAAAGTTTCACGAAAATCCCTTTTGTTTTTTCTCTCTTTCTCTCTTCGAGTAAGATTGAAAGGGTGCGCGGCGTTCTTGCCCATTAGCGACGACTGGATCCGACGATCGTGCAACTCGATTAACTTGCGTCTCATTCGTCACTGTGACCCTAAAAAGGAAAACACAGCAGAGAGACGAAAGTTGTCACGAGCGGTTGCTTTTAAATATTAGTTCGGTTTTGTTCCGTTCCTAGCGTTAATTACACAAGAAATAAGACGGCGATCGTTCAAAGCCAATGCTTCACTTTTTCATTCTATCTCCTCCCCTGACCGTTGGTTTTTATTATATTTGCTCGCTTATCTCTGCTTTTATGTGTCTTTAAAAAATTAATATTCGTAGGCGACTAACGCTGCTTTAGAATCCAGAGGTTTTGTTACGAGTGACTTGTTCGAAGTTTGATTGTTCCGCTGTATTATTATTAACTCGTGGAAGATACAGTAGAATTTCATTTATTAGAGTAAGACGTTAAAAATTCATCTTTAGATTCCCATTTGATCTCAAACATTGAAATTGAAAAAAGAAAGGGTTTAGGATCGAGTCGATATCGCGATTAAATGGGAAGAATGAAGGCACCCTGTCAATCGGTTCGTAGTGATAGTACAAAGAACTTGAGACTAGCAATATCGATAACTAGCGTTAGAAGAAAGAAAAATGAAAAAAGAAGCGTAACATTTACACAGACTCGAGTTAAAGAAATTAACGGGAGCGATACGATGCTACTATTCCTATAAAAATTGCTTCTTACCGCTACTAATAATATTACGAAGCGACGATAAATACCGCTGCAACTATATTGTTAATAACTACGAGGGGAAGAAAAACTACTACTATTATTATAACTACTACTGTACAACAATTACCACCACCACCATACCACCATCGCCATCAGCACCACCACCATAAGCAGAAAAATAGGAAAAGTCACTTACCACCACAGCACCACCACTACTCTACCACTACCACTAATACTATTACTACTACTATTAATACTGCTACTACTATTACTACTACTACTACTACTACTACTATTACTACTACTACTACTACTACTACTACTACTACTATTACTATAACTACTACTGCTACTACTGCTGTTACTACTACTACTATTACTACTAACACTAATATTATTACTACTACTACTACCAACACTATTACTATCACTACTACTATCACTATTACCGTCACTACTGCTACTGCTACTAATACTAGTACTACTATTACTACCACTACTGCAGCTACTACTACTATTACTATTACTACCGTTGCTACTATTGCTATTACTACTAACACTACTAGTATCACTACTGCTGCTGCTACTGCTACAACTACTACTATCACTAACACTATTACTACTACTACTATCACTACTACTGTTACTGCTACTATCGCTACTACTACTACCACTATTACTACTACTGCTGCTGCTGCTAACACTACTACTATCACTACTACTACTACTACTACTACTACTACTACTACTGCTACTACTACTACTACTACTACTACTACTACTATTACTATAACTACTACTGCTACTACTGCTGTTACTACTACTACTATTACTACTAACACTAATATTATTACTACTACTACTACCAACACTATTACTATCACTACTACTATCACTATTACCGTCACTACTGCTACTGCTACTAATACTAGTACTACTATTACTACCACTACTGCAGCTACTACTACTATTACTATTACTACCGTTGCTACTATTGCTATTACTACTAACACTACTAGTATCACTACTGCTGCTGCTACTGCTACAACTACTACTATCACTAACACTATTACTACTACTACTATCACTACTACTGTTACTGCTACTATCGCTACTACTACTACCACTATTACTACTACTGCTGCTGCTGCTAACACTACTACTACTACTACTACTACTACTACTACTACTACTACTATTATTACTAATTAATAACAACGCTATTGTAAGGTAAACTACTACTATGTTACCGCTACTATTAATTATTAACTATTAATCGTAAGGTGGAAGATGACCGCATACAACTGTTACTATTACACCGCCTATTTCAACTATTAAGGCGCGCCGTGTGTTATGGGAGAAGAGGGGCGCTGCTATTGCTGACTACTATTAATTCACACATTAACTAAACTACTAATCGCTTTACGACTACGGTTACTACGGGAGAATGATTCGTTAATGTAAAAAAAAATATATATATATATATTGATCCGACGCGAGACGAATAGGATACGTAAAACACGCACGCTCAGGGTGGATCATCCTTGGTTTTTAGATGAAAATAATTATTGTTCGTTAAGTCGTTGGTATTAAAAGGGATACAAAGGCTTTCTAATTACACCTTCTTACATAATTGAAGGTTTAATCGGATGTTTTCTCGAACAAGCGAAAAGATTTCGTTGGTGGCAAATTTTTATTTGAAAGTAAATCCATGCTTGTACCGTAATACGAACGATTTAGAAGAGGGTGGAACACCCTGGCCATTCTTAGTTGTTACATCACGCACAGGGGTAGAAAGACAGCCGAATTCGTCGATCCTAGATCCGATCGATCAAGAATTTCGCACACTCCGTTCGAATCCTTCGCCAACCACCCTCCACGAATTTCTTTTTCCCCCAAAGAAGAATTTGTCAATTTCTTAGACGTTTGAAAAAGTTGAATCGCTGGATAGATGGATAGACGTAGTAGAATATCTAGAGCTTCCTTTGGGGGTGGTTCGCGCGAGGTAGTCGAAGGGATCGTAATAGCTGTATAAAGAATTTTAATACTTTCGTCAATGCCAATTGGGATTGTAACGAGACTTCGTGTTCTTATTTTGTTAAAGGAAGATGGGCGGGCACTCGACGCCGATTAATAATAAGAAAAAAAGAAAAATTAAAAATTTCACGGGGAACTATAACAAAACGAAACCAGGGTGGTTCGGGATACGTATATTACCGCAAATGGACTTCTTACGGTGATCTCTTTTCAGTTTAATTCGCTGGAGTTTGTACGAGATTTTTCGAAATTGATGATCAGGAATCACGTATCGACATATAAAACTAATCGCTGTTTATATAAAAGTAATAATTTGCTACGGTGGAGAAATTACAAAATTGGATGTTGGACGTTCCGAAAGTTCCTCTTCATTAACTTTAACGTTGTAACATTCTTTTTATTCTAATGAGGGTGATTATAGGATGTAATAATTTTATAAAAGAATATTTAAGCATAAAACTTGGAAAATACGTGATTCGAGGATTATCGACGTACGATTTCAAGGATGCGAATAGAGTAGAGTGCCAATTAGGGTAGAGCGATTACGAAATAGTATTAGGTCTTCCCGATAGGGTGAAAGGTCGTGGTTAGGTCGGCTTCCGAGAAAGAATTCACGACGGAAGATTTATTCTTGATCCATATCTAAAATTAATGAAAATGTTAAATTCGAATGCAAATCGAAACTCTCGAATTCAAATAAAACTTTTATTCAAAAATTCAAATCCTTGAATTCAGATTGCAAGGAAAATTTACCGCTTAAACTCACACTTGTAATTACAACTTTCGAAGTTTCGCGAGTACATAATAATGAACTTTATGCGAAAAATCTGTTTATTGGAAAAAAGAAAGGATAATAAAGCGAGGAAATTAAGAGAAATCTTTCATCGTAGCGCCTGGTGACCGCTTGATTTCGCGATTAGTTGATTCGAGAGTCCAGCCAACCGCGTTTCCGCTCAATACGACGACGTCTGAAGAACGTCGAGCTCGCGTCGCGCCGATCTCTCTCGGGGCATCCACAGAAACATTTTCTATAGCGTCTCGAGCTGCCTTGAACCGAAAGTGCATTAAAAAATCGTCCGCACGACAGCCGATCGGAATTCATTGCGGCTGGGATCACGATTCCAACACGGAATACAAAAGAAAAAAGAAAAGAGAAGAACGCGTGGAAAAAGAAAGAATTTAAAGAAACTACCCTTAATTCTAAATAACACGTTAGTTAGATGTTTTGTATTTTATAGCGATTGTTGTGATATCGACGAGGATCGAACGATAGCAGTTATGTTTTCACACGAACGAATTATTCGAATGTTGATCGTAATGATAACTTAGAAATAATTGCCTTGTTACAAGTGAAAAATCCGATATTTCGCTTAATCGTAGCTAGTAGATAGACTATTTAATTGCATATCTCACGATAATTTGTAATTTAACTAGCAGCGTAGTAATTTATTAAGAGAGTGATAATTTGAATAGTGGCGATCGTCTAATGTGCTATTCGAATGCTAGAGAATAATTTCAACCCTCGAGATCAACGACGCGCACCCGGATACTTAATTCCATTCTATGTAATGAATTTTCGACCATACCAACTAGTATTAACCTATCAAACCTTTCCACCTTATTTCTCCAAGGAATGTTCGCACGGTGATTAAACCTTTACTCGATTACGCTCTTCACTCTTCCTTTTGACCCTGTTGTCGCTACCCCTGAACAGCTATCCCTGAATACCATTTATAAAATAACAACGACGCGACAAGAAGATTAAAAATAGACTATAAACGAGGAAAGGTTCGACGGAAGTGATCCTCAGCCGCAACCGGAAGTTCCCACCGGCACGACAGTGCGCACGAGAACTTTTTCTACGTAAGATAGAATATTTCTCTAGTAGAATTTGGGGGCAGGGGGGGAGGGGGTTAGAAGGAAAGACGATAGACGAGGGATGTTTTTCTCCCAGAACAGGCGGAGGGAAGCTTAATTACGCGACTGATAGTCGCGCGTCTCGATCGAGGGAAAAAATCGGGTTCGAGGATGAAGAAATATCGATTGAATATCCCGGGCCACCCACTGTGGCAATTCACCTCGAAGGTGGATCGGTCAAACGAAAACAGCGATTCTTCCGTCGAAATCACCACAAATCTCGACGAGGAAACTCTGTGCGAATGGGAAAAAAATCATCGAAAGTCGAGACGTCGTTACTTTTCGGGCAATTAAGCGTTAAGGAGTTAAAAAAAGGGGGGAAAGGACAAAGGAAAGACGATGGATCGTCTGCGTAGAATTTAAGCTTGCGGGGGACAGAAGACGTATGATAAATTATATATATATTTATATATATTTATATATTATGATATATATATTGATAATATATAATATATAATAATATATATATAATATATATATATATAAAACATATAAACGCGTAGCTAACGAACGATTAACTTAGCGAGCACTGATTAACGAGACGAGAAGAAAAGATTGTTTTTGATTCTTCTTTTCTTGTTTTTTTCGTTGTTGGGGGTGTGTGGTTAGGGGGTGTGTTGCGAGAATTCAATAGATGAATATAGAACGCACGAGCATGCGAAGTGTAAGTTCAGCTACGAAAATAACGATAACAATAATATTAATAATAATAATAATAATAAATAATATATATATATAAAGTTTAACGGTACTTAACGACACACTGGTAATTGTAAACGACGAGAAACAGCGATGAGTAACATAGTGCGATTATTACTACCTATTATTACGGCAATACGATGATATACATATATTACAATGATGAAATACAATGATATATTTATCGAATATTTATTAAGCAAACGAGAATAGCACACATTGTGTAGTATCGGTTGTACAAAGTAGGCAACGAGGCGAAAACACGCGAGCGATTTATTTCGTTTATCGAAAATAGTATCGAAACTCTCAGGGGTCGTCGAGGCTTGGCGCTGTTAGGAGGTCGCGATTTTCATAGTTTTATGTCTCTTCTGATTTTAAAGATAGACATTCAAATATAAATTTATAATATACGAATTTGGAATATTTCATTTATTCCACCGGTAACTTACAACTTTCTTTCGCGAAACGCACAATATTCTACACAGCGATTTCTGCTAGTGGCTCGACCGTCATTTTTCTACTGTTGAGAACTCCTAGTTTACTCGTGTGCGACTCTTAACGCTCCAAACCGAGCATCCCCGAAAAAAGCGAGCAGGCGACTAAAGAGCACGAAAGACGCGACGGGAGGAAGAAAAAGAAAGGGAAGAAAGAGGAAGCCGAGAACGCGAACGTTCGATCACCGACGACGGTGGTCGGAAGCTCGCGTATATTTTCGTCTCACGATCCTTTTTTTACGATTGTGAACGAGGTTCATGTTATATATCAGGGATTAGACTAAATAGTATAACGATACGCTGCGAAGGAGGTGGCAAGAGAAAAACGCGACAGAAAGGAGTACGCGAGAGGCAGAGAGCACGGCAAGACAGCAGAGAAACGTTAAGAGATGAAACGAATGAAATGAAAAATGAAGTAACTAAATAAAGGAAGAAACCGAGGATGGTTGGCCTTTGGGAAAGGCAGAGCGAGAGAGAGGGCTGTGACGAAGGTGGTGATAGTGATAAGTGGAAGAGTCAGACGCGTTAAATTAGATTTCTCTATTCAAAGAGTGGCTAAGGAGATTTTAATTATTTTTTTTTTTTTTTTAATAGAGAGCTCCGGATTCCCAGCTTCGTTTGAGTTTCACTGAGACAAAAATACGTATTAACGATAATATATTTCGGTATTTTAAACATTGGTAATCGTTGCTTATACTTATTTCTACGTGTATATTTGGGCTATCGGTCATTAACATTAAAATAAAGCATAGATCTAGCGTTGATATAAAAAAACGATCGGCATATCCATTATTACTTGTAACGAACTCGCAATTTTCCTTCCAATTCAGATAGTTAGGAAAACGAATTCACGGAAAATCATTTCGAACAGCGTATATTAATGAAGATCTCTGTTTCAATTTATACTTCTTGTGATTACATTTCTCCAAGAAACGTCCGAGGAAACGATAAGTACGACTGACCAGCCCTCTTTCCATAGAGACGATCGATCATCGAATATTAATGCTTAAGAAAAACCAAAGTTGTGATAAGCGTGGCGGGACTCGAAACCATGCACGATATCGAGGAAATTTTTAGAGGATGGAGGAGAAACGAGAGAAAGAAGGGGAAAAAGAGGAAAACGAGCGATCCGGGGTGCGTGAAACGACCTCGACTCGCGAACGGAGCTGGCAACCCTCCGACGAAGGGACACTGACAAGGGAGAGGCTTCTTTGTCACCTTACCGCGCCAATTATACGTTGTGTCCATACTGTCTCAATTAATATAATGTATTATATTATATATATAATATATATTATATATATATCCGACAATATTGATTATTAAAAATTCTTAATATATAAAAGAGGAGAAAAAAGAAAAGAGTAAATGTGAATGTTGGCCGAAAATTTATCCCCCTTTTGAGTTGTTCCAGATTTCAATTTTATGCGTTCGTATATAATTTCAAGTATGCTGCTGTAGTCTGATTTCCAAAGAAATCGATCAAGATACATATTTCAAGATCTTTTCTATGTTTTATTGATTTTCACGACTGTTCTTCTTTTTTTTTCGTCCTAGCTTCTTTTCATCCAAACCTATTCTTGTACAATCTATTCGTTCTATACGTAGAACTAAAGGATGCAATGGGATTGAGAAAGAAGACACGAGGTGAAAAAGTGAAGTACAATTTATTAATAATATACGCAGCCATTTTCGACATTCGGTGCATCATTGCAAAGATGATCGAAAACAATTAGTACACTTGGATACAACCATATCGGAAGCGACTCATCGCGACTATCTTCTTTACGTTCTATACATGTATATAAATAACTCGTAATTAAAATATAGATATATACATATGTATTATATATATTATATATATTATTATATATGTATATATGTATATATATATCTGTACAACCTGGACATACGTGTCTACAAAATAATCATTCATCTAATCGCTAATTTTCTTTTCTGAATTCATTCGTCGTTAACCCCTTGTGGTCCGCTATTTTTGTCTCCTAGAAAGTCCGCGGGAAATGTTTCGTTGTCAGAATTGATTAAAAATATACGAAAGAAATTAAAAGGAAAGAAGGAGAAGAATGCTATTGCAGTAAAGAATCAGACCCCAAAAGGTTAAAGAATCTTAGAGCACGTGGAATCGAATTGTCGAACGAGCTAGTCAACACTGACGTGAGAAAATAAGAAATGCATTTTGGACGAAATTCGAGAGGTACAGTGGTTTGTTTAATATCGATCGCAAGGTAACGTCGTTCTTTCTCTGTAATATGTCGGTCCTGAAAGTCGGAAATACAAAGCGACAGCGCGGCGATTAATTCAGCGGATTCACTACGTTCAACGAACGATTTATGTTCAACGAACAAGATAAAAAGAAGAAAAAATTCAAAATATCACAGAACCAACGAAACATTACAAACGAAAGTGAAATTTCAACATAGTTCTTTTAACGATATAACGAAAGATTGGCCCTCGGGGGAAATCGTTGATTATACCACGAAAATACTTTTCTCTTTTTCTTTTTTACAACTTTCTCTCCACATCGGGAATTGATGGATAGGCGAGGGAAACTTCCATTCCTTGACGATAAACAAAGCTGCGGGAAACAGAAACCAAGGACGGAACTCGTACGCTTCGATGTGAACGCAACAGACTAGAAACGATCGAACGAAAGTTTCCACTCGCCGCTCGCGTCTTCGCTTACAAACGAACCATTTCATAGGGAACGGTTCTCCTTTCTAAAGCTCCAACAAAATTTCTAACGCGTGCAATACTTCTTCCTTACAACTATAAATTCTCTATCGTTGTAATACGCATCATCTTTCTTTGCAATCTGCAAATTTTCAGGTCGAGAAAGAAAGACGAAGATTAAATTATAATCAAAGGGACATATCGTTCTCTTTCCAATAAATTTTTATATTTACACTCTTTCTTCGATTTGGGCCATCTCAGCTGTTTCAATATTAAATATATAAAAATATCTTACTTCTAGCAGATTCTCTCTCATTTCCGATTATCAACAAAAAAGGTAACTTAATTCTTGTCGTAAGCTCTTAAAGTTTTAACACGTTGGCTGTCACGCGAATTTTACATATTTTTGCCATGGGAGGTGGAATAGATTTAAATGTACAATACTATGCTTTTACTCTGGCAATGTTGTCTAAATCCTTCATATTGTTGAAAATTCCTTAGTGCATGAAATTTATCTTACTTTGGTCATTTTAGAAAATTTAATAAAAAACATGCGTCACTGATGTCAACGTGTTAACAATGTCCACATTGCTGACTACAAATGGTTCTTAGATCAAATATTCGAAACCTTATTCTGTTCACTCGCTTATGAACGCTAACCGTCCATATTATATGTATCATCATAATTATAAATAAAAAGAGGTAACTATCGAAACAACGCAACTGTGAATGCATCGACATACTAGTGCATTTCTCACGATAGTACGGTTGATGGATCGCACTAACACCGATATTCACGAAGCTTATTTCCTACAATTAAATAAATAAATGAAAATACTTGTCCCGGTAAAGTAAATGCCGCTCTATTCTTCTTCGAAGTATTCTAAGCTTAACCACTAATAGCTATGATCCTCGTCTCATTTTCTCTACAGCTATAGATGCAGCTTTCTTAAAATCGTGCTCGTTTCACGAAAATACATGTGTTCTCTTTTTCTCTTTCTTTTTGTCTGTACAGGTAGTCAGCCATCTTGGGCTTCATAAAGAAAATATCGCTAGTCTAATGCTACCGACGACGAAACGCTTGGATCACAAAGATATCAGTTTAGTCAAAGTATCTTTGCACGTGTTTGGATGACCATTTGACGTCTTGAAACGTTTCTTACAGAATATAGTTATGTTAGAAAACTTTAAGAGGTTTTTGGAAAGTAAAAAAAAATCGGTCATTCGTTGTTGGAAATTTAGAATTGTCATAGGCGGCCAGAGTTGGAAAATTATCTGAAAATTGATCCAAATTAGTAAATTCCATTGGATTCTAAAGTTCAACTCGTCAAGAAACCAATTGACTATACTGATACCTTAAAGAGTTCCAAACAACACTTCGTCGATTCTCTTACGATTTTCTTATTTTCTTCGATTGCGAACTCATAGCACTTAAGTCACTTTTCTTCGTCTCTTTGGCTCGTCCTCCAGGTGAAAAATATATAATGGAGTCTTAAGGACGACGCTCGTACTATACACTCTAAACTTCTATCGAGTAAACTTAAGCGCCCTAATGGTAATATCTTTAGAAATCTCATTCAGAGAAAAGTCCATCCATGCACCGAATCTACGATAATCGCATCTCAAATGTGTATGTGTGTGTATTTTAAGTACGAAAATGCGCAACCACTGCAACAACGTTGGGAAAAGACCGGAAAAACCGGTCTCCGTTATACAAAACTCTGTAAGTACAATTTATCGGCTGAGTCGCAGCGTAGTGGAGACATCCACGATGGAATGTTCGACAATTACAGGCTATAATTTAATAATAAGAAGGGAAAAGGGAAAAGGATTGGCCGAGTATCGCTGTGCAAACGTAAGGTCCCGTATTCTTCGTGGTCTTCATGGACGTTAACATCTATCTTGGTGGTTTCAGACCTTGATTCGAAGAAATACCGGACAGATAGGCATAGCTGTGACACGCGTCGCACGGAGTATTCGGTAGAAAGCTCCGCTGTTAGTCAAACGCTCGAACAACGACGATATCTTGTGAATTGCGACGTCATGGACTATTCAAGATATTCAATACTGCGTGTTTTGAATGTTTCCGAATTTCAAACTTCTTCCAAAAAATTTCAAACTCTTCAATTTCCTCGTTACCAATTCTACGACTTTCATACATTGGTAAACTTTAAAGTATAGATTTAACGATATTCTTAGACAGTTTTTCTGTTTCACAACTACAAACGTTTCTTCGTAGTCGTGAAAAGATGTTATGGTATACCCATAATCTTTGGAGATGTGGTCGCCGTGCGGGACAATTATTCGTTGTCCTCGCGCGCCACACGTCGATATCGCGATAACGATTAATTAGGGCAAGTCGAAGGAACTATGCGATTTGAATGCCATCGTGTTCGTTCGAAAACGCGCGTTTGTCGTTCTCTTACTTTAAGCAACGCAACGTTGGTGACCAGCAGATCGACTACTACTCGCCACTAACAGAAACAGGTCCGGCCGTGAACTGGTTCCTGGGCTCGTCTCGTGAATATGTTCACTAGTTGGCAGTGTACCCTGTCGATAAATCACAGTAGGTCAATTACAGTTGTTCACATTAATATTCGGACACAGCACTACCTCTGTATTTGTTGACTCGTGTAAGAGGGAATGATTCAAATATCATGTTATTTATTCCACGAAAATATGCATCTCTTATGCAAAGCAACAAATAGAGAGATGGTGATGTGCCCGAATATTAATCTCAGTAACTCTATACGTTATATAAAATTCTTCCCATAAAATAATCAAATAAGTCGTCCTACTCGTTTTATCTGTATTTTTTTATCCGAACGATACTGGTATTTTAAACGGAAATTAAAGGTCGATAAGGTATCAGAGATATCAAAGGTCAGCAATGAAAGGATAGTGGAAGCTTAGGTGTAAACCATCGAGGTGGAAGTGAGCATGATGAGTCTGTAAATACACGAACGAGTGTTTACCTGATTTTCACATTGGAGCTATCGATCACCTCGCCGTCGCAGTTCCATACGCTCAGGCTCGAGTTCAGATAGCGGTTGCTAATCTCGCTATTAGACTGCATGTGCAAGGTAGGTAAGGTGCGGAACGTGAACTCCCTGGCTCTATACACCTCGACGAACGGCAGATCGTACTTGCAAAAGAAAACAGACCAGCTAGATCAATTCGAACGATCGTCGACACATTTTCTGATACTTCTGAAATAATTAGCAAACTGTAAATTGGATTTTTATTATTATAAATAATTATTATAAATAAGCGAATAAAAATAATTTAAATCTGGATTTCCCAGATAAACAATTTACATATAATCGTATGTTTATAGAGAAAATCAAGAATATACGTATATTCTTAAATTAATAATAAATAAATAATAATAAACAATAAATAAATAATAATAAATAATAAATAAATTTACAATTATTTCACATACCAAAGTCTTCTGTTTGCTGGACAACCTCAACAACATCCTGATATTGTTAAAAAGCGAGGTATGTCGGACGAGAATTACGTCTACGCAACCGTCTCCGACATGACAATGAGGGCTGAAACCCATGGGGCTCCTGGAGCAACCACAGGCGAGATTGACACCATTCACCATGAAGAATTTACCTCTGATAGTCAACCATCCTGAGGTAGATTCAAGATAAATTAAAGATAAAGATAAAGTACAAACAATATCAATAGTATCAAATAATAATAATTAGACTATGGATTTCTATGCATTTCTACGTAATTTATTGTAAAAGTGCAAAAATGTGCAGAATGAATATAATATGCAAAAATATACGAAATATCTAAAGTATAATACTCTTCATACGTGGTGAAAAAAACAAATCCCTACTTAAGTGCTATTCGTTCAATTATGTTTATGACAATACGAATTTGCATAAAAATCGACAGTTTAATAATGGATAATAGACGACTAACTGGTTATTTCTTTATCTGGAATACTGTTGTGCATGTGTTGGAGGCACCTGGTGCAGTTTTTTATACATCTTGTACTGGTTGCTGGATGGCAAGGGTCCGATAGGAGCTGGATCTCACCTTCGTAACCTTTATTCGCGAGGATCTTCTTGAAACCTGAGTTAAATTCGAGGTATGTACTATATTATACATCTTTTTATAATCATTCAATAATTTTCAAGGAATATTAACATTATTTGCCATTAGGCAGATATGACGTTACAACAATGATAAGGCAAAAGATGTACCAGCATGGAACACGGCGAAAGAAGAAAAAAACATGATTAAATATATATTACGGCATATATTGTAAGAAAATTATTGTTCAAGATTATGGAATGTACAATACTTCTTATTACTAATAAAGTATACAGTGCGTATTTATTTTAATTCCTCTCTTCTGTTAAGATAAAACCATCAAACAAGAAATACGCGAGGCAGAACAACTTCATCAAATTCGGAACAAAAATGACGTGTGAAATTCCAGGAATTACGTTCTTTGTGCCACCTCCTCGGCTATTATATTCTCCTGATACCATTTTTCGATTTCAACATTTCATAACATTGATTTCCATTTTTAATTTTAAGTTTATTTTATAAGTGGAAAATCACAAGGAAAATATGACTTGTATGTACTTTCGACCGTGCGCGGGGAGACGCGATCTCGAAGAAGCGCGCCAACGGGAGTCGTAAATTCCCGTTACGATTTGAATAATCGATGCCACGAATCGTTCGATTCCTTATTTCGGCTAAGATAAGGGTGGTTGAATGAATATAACACTGATATTAACAGGTTAATATATATTTTCAAAGATCCAACAACTTCAATGTGATACAATGTTACGTATGTGGAATGACAAACTACGAATGAGTACGACCTGAGACTTTTCGTGTTGGCTACTGTGATGATGTATCTTCTGTCGATTGACTGTCTTCGACTTGGAGATTCTGCTGACTTGACTCCTTCTGTTCCTTGAACTGTGTTTTAACTCGAGCTGGTTTTAAACTGACTATTCGCTCTTATGTTATTACGGAGTGAAGCTCGGTATGGATGTGCCCTTTGAACGAAGAACGCGGATTCGTTGTTCACATTTTTCGTCAGGAAAGTGAGGGTGTAACGATCCGCGATGCCCATTAGTTATGACCCACGTTAATGAAGGAAGTATGAGGAGGAAACCTCCTACCAACGTGGCTCGTGGGTGACCTCGTTCATGGGAAAAATCAGCTTTTCCATAAGACAAATATTCGCTTTTCCTCTTAGGTAACTACCTGCCTTCTCCGTGATTTTTAAGAGCGAATAATAAACCCAAGGACTGTTTTAACCCCTTCACCTACGATTTTCGTTCCAGAATTTTGGGCCGATTGAAAGAAAAAATCATAATGATACGTGTAGAAAGATAAAAATATTTATCGGGAGAAAAGATTGACAAAACGAAATCATGTTGTTTTGCCTCGGAGTATCAACATCGTTAGGCTGTACATAATGAAATAATAAATAAACTCGTGGCGAAACAATGTCGCCGCTACGTGCAAGCGTCAAACAAAGACGAATTTAAATCATCGTAGAGTGACTAGTTTTTCAGTCTCAGTCTTGATCAATTTTAACCCCTTAACCTACAATTTACGGCGGGCTATGCCCGCAATATTTACGTTTGGCCCGATCATCGTACTACGGGCTACACCTGTAGTTATAGGTTAAGGGGTTAAGTACCAGCCATAAGCAGAAAATACTTACAGGATTGAAGATTCCGCTAAAGATTCTGTTTATGGTGGTTCTTTAGGTTTATTGAGAGTTTGAATTACGGTGCGTGGGCCTTTGATAGTCAGACAATGAAGGATGACGCACGGAATGTCCCACGCGACGTAACAACGTACTCAACTGAATACGTTTAATACCTTTGTTTCATTCTGACTTCTAGCAGATACATTGCTATACAGAATTTTACAAATATATAACAAATTTTTATAGTGTATAACATAAAAAATTCCTATCACGTATAATATAACACTATCTTCAAGTAGTTTCTTGCGGTAGTGTCCTTTACTGACGTCTCCTGTAATAAGGAACATATATGTATATATATTATGATACTATTTGAAAGTGAGACTAATCGTTACAATCACTTTATAAGATACAGTAAGAACATGTAGAAAATTAGTAATTGAAATAATATACACAAATCTAGTATCTCCGATTAGTTATTAATATATCTAGAACTATCTTCTACTGAAACGTCCATACTTTACCACACAACTAATTAAATACATAACGAATACCAAATACTTACCTGCACGAACATTTGAATTTACTCCTATTTTTGCAATTTTTTACTTCCCCGCGAGAGTACGCGCTACGGCGAACTCTCAACTAGCGCCATCTTCTTAAATTATTTCAACTTGCATCGCGTATTCGTAAAAATCTCTTAAAACACTTTCGCGAAGCGTTTCGTCTCGAGGCCTCTATATGATACTTGTCGTTCTCTTTCATCTCCTATATTTTTTTACGCATTCTTTTGGTGCTTTGTCACTGACTACGTCAAAGAGACGTACACCCTCTCACCGGCCGATATAGGAATTTGTACAAGAGATGCTATCCGAGTGAAACACTATCTGTTCTCTGCCATACAGTTTCTCCCCACTCCCACGAACTCGCACGTGTTCCCGCAAAGCTAGAACAAATCTAGTTCACCAACCTTCCGGCTTAAAGAAACTCGTAAATCGTTCTACGGCCGTACATCCTACTTCCTACGCTCGCACTTTAAACTGCACGATATAAAATAACTATACTTTACAATTTCCTTCACTTATTGGCCTCGTTCCTACATCCCTCGCGGCTATAGTTTGCCTGTCATTAGCTGACAGCTTGTTACGACTTATAAAACTATCTTTACCGCTAAATGTATCCCTTACCCTCACAAACTTTGTTCTTTACTAGTTTGCGGTTCGACCTTCTTACCTTTATTTTTGGCCTTGGCATATACAACCTACCTGTAGCCTTGAAAAAATTAATCAAACCCTTATTTATTCCTTAGCCATTCCATTCGATTTTCGTCCAACGTTTTGAAATAAAGAATATCTAGTATCGTATTAAATACATAAAAATATAATAAAATTACTAGAAGTATGAAAAACATTCATCAAATAAAAACAAATTGTAAATCACGCGCGTGAAAAATCGTTTTTGCTAGATTACGCTAGACCTAATCAAAAAGTCACGAACTCCACAAAATAATACTACACGAGACACAAAAAATCGTGTGATTCAATTAGAAAACCATTCAACCATTCAACCATAAAAATGGTCGAGAACATTTTAAACTAGCCAATTCTTTTCACTAAATTACATCAAACACAGTTACGTTAATATTTGGAGTATCTCTTGTCGTACTTATCGCATTGCATAAGAGGGGATGATTTAAATTTCAAATTATCTTATTTTCGTAGCACGCTAATATTCAGACACTCGTTTGCGTTCTCCAATCTTGCAATTCTTAGTAACAGTTCGAACTGCGAAATACATTTACTTTCGACAATTATTTCGTATAATTAACGTCAGAAAAAATTATCACCAATATTTTTCTAACACACCAGGAAGTTTAACGTGTCATGAAAAGGAAAAAGATGCTGGTTTCGATGAAAAACAAAATTGTAATTTGTTATAGAAGAAACTATCGTGAAATTGCACAATCATGACTAAACTGCGGAGTTATATGCATTTATAAGAAATCAGAAAGTGCAAAACTACACAAAATGCACGTAGTATAAAACAATATAAAAAATATCCAAAAAAGAAACAGTTAGTTTCTAAAGTATTTGGCAGATAAACCAATTTTCTATCGAGGTTCTATCTTCTAACTTATATACTCGAAAGTATGAAGTTGCATAAAAATCTGCAGTCTAATCACGAGTATTAATCGTAGCAAACATTATTAGACGTTATTTAAAAGAAAAGACGGAAATCACTTTTTCGTTAAAAATTTACTGCGCGATTAAACGTTATTGTTAGGAACAGGTTACTTACGTATTTTCAAGCTACAGTAAATGACTCATATTTGCGTCGAATAAGCAACACAGCATTTAAATTATGCTCTCTTATACAAAGCAATAAATACATGATACAGAGTCCATTACAAGTAACTGTATCAAGGATACGATGACAGTAAAAATCCCATACAACTATCACCAACACACAAATAGCTCAATAATAAAGCTTTATTCCTTTCTTTGAAGGAACAGATATTTTACTTACCGGAGTAATCGTATCTCTGGGGTCCCATCCAACGAAACTTTTCACTGTCCCGTATCACGTCGCCTAGATAGCCGTAACTGAGCATGCTGGCGTATAGCCTGAGCAACGACTGGTCATTGTGCACGGAGGAGACGTCGAGGCCAGTGCTGTCGCCAAAAATGATATGTATCGTCGCCGTTTGCACATCGGTGGTTCCATGGAGGCTGTACGCGATCGTGTCGGTACTTCCGCTGGGTATCACTCCGATCGGAAGTCGAGGAGTCGGTAGATTCACTTCTGGATTATTCGGGTCGATTTGTCGATCCCTCGAGGTCCTCAGTACCAGGCCGTTGATCACCTCCGCGACAGTACCGTCTCCGCCGATGCATACTATCGCCTGGAACAAGTGAACAAGAGTGAAACATTTCTATATAAAAATGACTTAATCTTCTTCGTCCTTGCGCCGTATTTTCGCTATCGCTTCAGGAAATTTCTATTTCTTGGAAATTTCTATACGATTTAAAACTTGTTACGGAAATAAAAGAAAAATGAAAAAGAAAATTATGCAGAAAATAGAAGAAAAGTAGAAGATACTTTGTAGAAAAAGTTTCTCCAAATACATTGAAAGGAAAAGCACGAAATTTGGTCGAAGGAGTTCTAAAGATACGTAAGCGATAAAAGGAAAAGAAATTTTGCATCGGACGTTTCGTAACCGTGAAGCTTTGAGAACGAAATGAAAAATGAAACTTACATGGAAGTCAGTAAAATCGACGCTTAAGAGGACATCACGAATATGGCCAACCCTCTCTGTAACTAGTATCTTCGCATCAATGCCAGCAATAGTCATTAGAGGCTGTACATCCTTCTCCCAAATCTTCAAACCCTTTTTCTTCCCTCCAAACGGGTTGATGAATAGTAAAATCTTCCTAGGACGATGGGTTAATCCTATAAACCAGTAATTTGCAATTCTCCGTTAAAATAGTTATGCAATCTTTGAAATAATTTATTTTTCCTGCAGTTGTGAATGTAACGGTCCACAGATTATTAAAAAGACTAAATTCGTTTATTCGTGAAGGATAATGTTTTTGAAGAAACGCAACGTAGCAAACAGGAAACCGGATCAATACAGTGGCTACTGTTTCTCTCAACAAAGATAGACCAGAAAAAGATCGCGTCACACGCACGCCAAAGAACCACCCTGTTGTATTTCCGTTCTACCCACGTTTCCCCCAGAGAGAATATAGTTCGAAGGTGGCATTTTGATTGATTGGAAAAAACGATAAGTTCGTTGCCACAGTATTAGGAATATTACGAGGTAGGCGTGCACGGATATCCACTCGTCGATTAGTTATCGTTTAACCCTCGATATTTCATTCTATGTACACAGATATACATAGTGAGTGTACTTAATTGAAGAACGCTTCATTAGGATAAAAACGTTTAAAATTCCGGAATTGTATTCGATAAAGTTTTTTATAGAAAGATATCGCATAGATAAAATAAACATGTTTGAAAGATTACTAAGATTACTGAAAGACTGTTTATCATTCATTATTTATTAGATTGTAGATTTCTATGCATTCGTGAGAAATTTAAAAAAGATTAGAAGTGCACAGAAAGCTGATAATATACAAAAATATATAAAACGTCGAAAGTGTAGTGCTTTTTGCGATATTTGATAGATAAAACAATCCATCTATGTTTATAACTTGGTTGATTAAGCGGTTAATAATAATTAAAGATATATGTATATTTTAGTTTTTTTTACAAATACAGATTATGTGTATTTTAGGATAATTTTTTTCCGTTATTATTTAGTACGTGGGCTTGAAACGACTCGAGAAGAGATAAATCTCTAGTCCAGTGTAGACAATGAAGTGGAAAGTTGAAACTATCGACCTAGACCCTGAAGAATCATCGTTTGAGTTATTAATCGTGCACAGAACCGGTTTCTTCGGAATAATCGCCGTAAGATGTTTTATTTTCTGGAAACTCACGACGTGTTCTTAGACTTCGACGTTGCTTTTTCAATCCCTCCAAGGAAGCAATCCAAAGAGCATAACATACAGTATATGATTGTTAAGTAAATCATGACCGTTTCCGGCAAACATCATGGTTCTCTTCGACCTAGAAAGAAACGCTGAGATATTTTCATAACATCGGATTAATTTCTCGGGATGAATCGTAAAATGTAAAACACGAATTCATCGAACCAATACACCAAATAATCCTACTTCCCTAAGTCCATTTACAACAATGAAATAACACGATTAACAGTAAATTCCAGAGAATTTCAATCAATTTCAAAGAATAAAGTTCGTAACATCTTTCTCTATTTCTTAATTTATGGTCTTTTAGCTTCCAAACGGCTCTAATTATAAACAAATGAATTTGATTTTCTATCAAACCTCGACTCGAGTGAGAATGTAGTGGCAAATTAGAATTCTAAAATTACGTTAGGTCGATCTTATGAACCCACGTAATCGTCAGAGCATCAATTTCATAGAAACTTCGAAACTTTTCCCACAAGTATTTATCCTAAAGCTTGGGTGTGTAGATTGACCAACCCTTATCGGCCACTAACTATAAACGTAATATAAACTCTGCGTGACGACAGACTAAAATTATCAATGGAGACACTTATTTCGAGCATCGTTATTAATAAATGCGAACACCATGCGAAACACCCACTCCGTGCGTCAATCGCCATTCCAGACGCTCTTCAAACATGCACCGGCTAAACTACAGCGACGTGAAAGGCGGTAGACTGAAAGAGCGGTTTGTTTAAGCTACAGAAACTGCACGTGTGTATCCTGCAGCTTTTTATCCGCTGAATGAGCATGACGTAAAAGCCTAAGAGGTGTAGATACGTGAGGGGAAAGAATCGTGGGCGCGAATAGGGAGTTTTATAAGGTGAAGTATCGTTCTGTGAGGTGTCGTGGCATGCTGATCGATAGAACAGCGACGCTTGCAGCGGTTTCTCTTCCTCTTCGCTTCCTGTTTCTACGGAGCTTCGATACGTTGACCGCCGTTTATTCAACTAATATGTAAAAATCGCGTTGGCAATCAACGTCCTGAATTTCTTCTCGAATAAGCTTGGATTTTTTCATTACTTTAAGCTCGAATCTTTCGGTTCTACTATTGGATTGTTGGATTTTTATAGATTCGAACTCGTACGTCCTCCCGGACTAGATTCTCCAATTCGTCTGGCTAAGGTTCTCCGATACTTCTGAGCTTGATTCTTTTACTCTCTTCAGGAATAAAATGGAGTATCCATAAATAAAGCAAAATCGTCTAATTTCGTAGAAAAATATCATTAAAGGAAAATAATAGTAGTATATTGTTCGAGAGATAGAGATACAGACGAATCTTTGTATTTTGAGTGCTTTTTGAGAAGAATTGAAATTACGCTAAAGCGGGTATACATTTTGCAACGTAGAATACAATATCCTTGTATTTCTCATAAAAAACGATATACGAAAGGAACAAGGAATCGCGATGTATAAAGAAAGACGAGTGTTTAATTACTATAAATTTTTTCCAATTGTTAATTATTATCATTTTAATGATATTTTAACGATGATCCCCACAAGAAACAAAGTCACTCAAAGTCAGAGTACGAAACAACGAAACCGAAAATGCCTGTTGCAATAAATTTACAGATCGTTTTACAACTACATACAAATCAACTCCAAGTATTGGATGACTGATCACTACAACTGTAGGAAATCACTGGCAATCTTTGTTCCCCGGCTTTATTTTTTTGTTCTTTGCAAGCCAGCAAAAAGCATGCCTTAATTACGCAGCCTTGATCCGTAACCAACGACCCAGTTCCAGCATATGCCGTGTTTAATCCTTTCTACTCGTTCGCGGGGAAACGCAACACCGTACACAAGAATAAACGTTGAGCATTGAAACATATGATGTTTCGCAAATTATTTCGTAAATGTTGGAAAACGTTATTTCATTTTCTTTCTATCTAGTTACATTCTTAAAGGGCGTGCTCATAATAATCGATACGATTTCAATTCTAGTTTAAGTTTCTCTCTCTCTCTCTCTCTCTTTCTCTCTTTCGCTCACTCACTCACTCTCTACTAGTTCAATTATTTAAGCAACGCGCGACGACTATCTCCACGATTCGGATATAGAAAAGAAACAATAGCGCATGCGAGCAGCACGGTTCAACTTTCACCTACTTTTCCCTTTATTTCGTATCTTCGCACGCGATATTATTAGCACAGCCGATCGATCACGTGTAGTTAACACTGGAACTATCGAAGCTAGCAAAATGACAAATTTCCAGTTCTATTTTCTTAAAATTACTAAAAGCATATATGTAGGTATTTTAGACAAAATTAATATTGTTTTTTACTTAGATGGAGACGTAATTACACAGATCTATTGATTTTAAATGACACCATTTGAATTACAATGATTTGTACATAGAATATTTAGATAGGTATTTGCAGACTGGTAGTTCTAGTCTTAAGGATTTTCCCATTCTCGGTTCTCTTTCCTGTTTTCCCCTTTTCTTTCCACAATTTATAATCGAGTCACCATGCTTGCATAAGTTATTAGCGAAGATGAGGTAGCTATAAGGATTCCACGAAATCTCACCTCGTTACTCTTCGACTTCATTGTAAGAAAATCTATTTTCAGAGTCGGGATAATTAGCAGTCAATTACCGTGTCGTGTAGCGACTCTACTGAACCGAACAACGATTCGTGCAACAGTTTTGCTTACTAGTCAGCCGACTGGTTAACTCGCGACAAATAAGATCTCTTCGAATTATGTCGAGTTTGCGGTAATCTAAACCTGGACAACTCGCCAATCTTTTCTTGCTCGAATCGGAAAAATGAACACACCAACTGTCACGATGGTTCTCGATGACCCATATTGTTTTACTAAATTTCTTAGAATAATTGGTATGAGAGAAATTTCGTGGACTGAAGAATAATGTGTATTTTAACGATTTGAATGATCTTTACATAATATCTTCGAAGATAAAATATGCAAATATAATATTTCGCAAAAATTAAATATTAGAATGTATTGGGTTGGCAACTGGATTTTGTCATTAGGTGATAATCCACAATCACTTAGTTGCCAACCCAATAGTATATTTGAATCGATTGAGGTTCCAGGCCAAATCAGATATTATGCAAAAGTCGCGTGGCAGTCAACGTGTTAACAAAGGCTTCGATATTTCAATTACAGAAAATTGCACGTTACGGAAAATACCAAGCGATATCTCACGATAAGAGAATTGATCGATGAACTAACAAGGAATGAAAAAAGACTGAAGCTCACCCATGAGGTAATTTCGGATGGTTTTAACCCAGGAGGCGACTTGCCTAGGGTCGGTGTGGCTCATGGTCACACTATGATGGCTCCATTTATTCTTTGGTCCACGTACAGCGTAGTGGAGAATGAAATTCGTCGGGCAGACGGTGGGCGAGGTAGGCGATGTTGGAGGCGGTTGTTTCTCCTTCAGATTCACCCCATGTATCCAATCATCCCCGTAACGAACGGCGAGCACGTCAGTCATCGGTAGTGTCCATCTCGCTGAAAATATAAAAAGTGTTCGTGTCGAATCGATACAAGTAGCTTTGAAAACAAATCCCTCCACTGTCCTATCCTTTTTGCCAATTCACGAATTCTCGTGTGACTTATTTTGCCATTTAGCCGCGTTAATTGGGAAAGTATTCGTAATTTTTTTCGTATTAATTGAGAAATGATTTTGTAATTGAATTACAAAATGAATTTTTAAAGTTGATAAGAGTATTCCGAGGGAGGAAAGCTTCCGATATTTTATTCCTTTTAACTTTGGAATGGCGAAGGGGTATGGCTTGAATTGATAAATCTTGAATAGAGAAAATAATCGACTAAACTAAAGACGATCAATATTCGTCAATTTATTTGTTCTAATTTGTCAATTCGTTAATTCTAAATTCAACGATTACAACTGTCGCTTTTTCTATGTATTCGTTCCAAGGTTATATAATAGATCAAAAGGAAAACGACTACGCGACGAAAGTACGTACTCGGCTAGAAACAAAGAGAGTCGGTTTACCGGTTCTCTGACAGATGCCGTTTAATATTGCAACGAAGTGACGAGAACAAAACTACATAGACCATTCAAACCGTACGATCGTTTTGCATAATTGAATGTGGCAATCTAACGCTACTTCTTCATCCACGAAATATATACTCTTTGAAATCTAATCGATAATCGCTATCGAATAAAGAAAAGAGGAAAGAAAGCGTGCAGCGATCGATCAAACGGAACTCTAGAATCTAGACAATTTGATCAACCACCGTGACCACGTTTTCGTTTAAAACCTGAATTACAAGGTGTAATTTTATGGATTTTATTTTCACCGTGATTATCTTACTTTTCTCGTCAGAGATTTACAAAATGATCAAACAAAAAACTTTTAGGCACCTATTTGCGTCGTACGAAACTTGATTATGGCAACGCGAAGTAACAAAGATTACCCCAGACAAGATAACCGAAAGACGAAAGATATTCGACTACGATGTCCGTACAAGAGAACCGACAGACACGATCGACAGTCCATGAAAACGATAAAATATCGTGAAGCGCACGAAAGGAAATCGATAGCGCGTTCTCTTGTGATTTCAGTGCGATTTTTATGAATTATCTAAATATCCTTTGCAAAAAATTCGGCCGACGAATTTAAACTCTTGTGAAAATTTTCGATAGAAAATCGAAGCGGTTCCAGTATTACATTTTTATCACAGAATTAATGTCTATTCTTCATCGAGTCGTTTCATATTTTTTTTTTAATACTTGTAATATTCGCTTTGCTAAATAAAATGTTCAATTTACTTATAATTCTCAATGAGAATTGATTGTAAAAAGTATACCAAATAAGAAAAAAAAGATAAAATGTTTGCGAATTTACTGCCGATTAACTTCTGTAAACTTTCATGAAAATTTTTCCCGAAAGAAATGGAAAAATATTTATAAAAATTTATTTAATATTAATAATACTAATAAAATTAATTGTTAAATTATATCAATATACATTAATTGTTAATATTCGTCCGTAAACCTTTGCAAACTTCTGTCGTGTCTCTTGAAAAAATTAATATAAAATAATAGTATCATCGTCGGGCTCGATTGTTCCATATGACACAAGAATTCCGCTAACTTTATGAAACCGCGAATTTCTTTCAACCGACCTAAATGTGGCTATCGACAAACGGGACAGCTGTCGTTAAAAATGACGATGTTATATTATGCATGTATACATAATCGACGACAAAAGCACAGGAATGAACTTAAAGTAAGTAGATAACGAAATTACGCAAAAGATAACGCGTTGCAATAACCATAGTCATAGTGTATCCGTCTTAGCCGAATTTCAATATTCTTTAAACTCTGGTCTGGACGATTGTAAAAAATTCATAGATAGATAGAAATAGAAGGACAAAATATTTCCTAAATCGTTTGTGACTTGTTAGAAATTTGTCTCTATTGAAAATAAAGGAAAAGAAGAAATTGGAGTTAAAAATAGCAGAGGGAAGGAATTTCGAGAGTTCGAATATTTCAAAAACTCGCTATTTTTTAAAGCAGCTATTATACCCAAGTCTCGCAGGATCGATTTACGATGTTTTTGCAAGTTTCGAAATTCGATTGTCTAATCGATTGTTAAATCAATCGAGCACAGAGTAGAACGACTAAAAATATTCGATATTTGAAATTTTGTAAAAAATTCTGCACGAACAATAATCCCGCGGAATATTCCACAGGTCTTTCGTAAAATAATATTGCTGAAAAATGTTCTTATAATATTTCCATGAAATATCCTTATCCTAGAATAGGAAACAATGTTTTTACAATGTTTTCAACTCACAATGATTTATTAATGTCAAGAGATTGTCGGGGTACATATTTGTTCGAGAATCCGATTCTTTTGTCAATATTTTCATTCAGATATATAATAAAATTAGAAAATTATATAGATATATAATATTTATTTTTTACTTTTCCTTGTCAATTCACGTGACTACAGATATTAAATATTTTGTCGGCCAACTTGATCGTCTGCTTGATTTAAAAGTTACCTGTTTATTATCGTATCGCTTTTTCTTCTCGCTTATTGATAAAGCTATTGTAATAACGAGATATCGTAGTAAAATATTGCAATAACGATAAATAATCACGATACTATTACGTTATTTTATAGATGGACTATGATTTTAAATAAATCTTTCAATTAGTAGGATTTACTGTTACTATGTGATATATATGTGAATGACTGAAGAAGCAGAGGTTTCAAGTCCTCTGTAATTGGAGCCTTAATTAGAATTCTGCAAATTGTGCCGAGATACGAAATCTGGAATCGCGTTGAAGGGAAATTGAGAGTTTTCTTTTACTATCGCGAATGATAGAATGAAACTTTGCTATAAAAAAAAATTACGAAACCACATTAAAAAATAAAATGGTATCATAGAAAATAAATATGCTTGAATATATAATGAAAAATAAAATATCGTTTCATATATAATAAAATAGAATCTTGTTATAACAATTGACAAGGTCTTTCAGCTACGCCTACGTCTTCCTAATAATCTGTTAATCCTCGTATTGTGAACACGCAGAGCTGTAAATATAAATCTGCGCTAAAAATATGATGCACATGGCCTATTCGACGGATGATCTAGCGAGAGTATCTTGCACTTTTCCAGCGACACTCGTATCGATTCGTTCCACTTCTCCGCATAGCTTATCGTATATTTACATATACCAGTCGTTGGTTACATACTTCAATATTTTCTATTTGATCCAAAACCCAACAAATCGCCCCTTTTATCTTTCTCCTCTAAATTGTTTCTTATATATCTTACGTCATTTTATTCCCCTTTTTTTATCGTTTTATTATTTTGCTTTTCTAAATCCACACATACATCGTTTCCTAGCTACGATAAACAGACAAATAAATAAACAATACAATCATGTATCAGATACATGAGTAGAAAAAAGATGTTGCTACATAATAGCGAGAAAACATTTGGATTTATTTAATTCTTATGAAAACCACTAGAAGAGCCACTTTCATCTATTCTATCGATTCGAAATAGTACTCGAGAAGTATGTAATGACTAAAGGATGTGTATTTGATGAAGGCCATCCTATGCCATCAGAAATAAGAAGAGCTTTTCAAACATCGACGTACATAAACGTAATACGAAACGGGGAAGGCAACAAGCACGTAATTCGCTAACAATTAATGGTTCGCTCCGCCCGATCGAAACGGTTTGCACAAACAATTTATCCAGCCAGTTAGGTACGAAATCGTGGAGAGTGTAAAAAATTCCGCGGAATTTTCATACCCGCCCACGTATCGGGCCGAAACTCGTGATCTAGTGGCTGTTAGGAGTCGCAGAGGCTGCGACTCTGACCCAGAAACGTATCGAGCCTTTGTTCCAGTGGTTGAAGGGCTTTCCACGCGAAGGTCGTGCCAACAGAAATTACCTTTTCGAAAGGGAACGTCGAGAGAATATAGATTGGAGCGGAAGTTCGATAAGATGGCAAACGAAGATCGCGAAACGACTTTGTCAAGTGGAAAAACAAACTCGAAAATAAATGCACGGCCAACGAGACAAGGTCGACGAGTAGCTACCCGAAACGACGAAGATCTTTTAAAACCGGATTTTTCATTTGTATTCGCCTTTCATCGTTCGTGCGATTCGTGAAAGAATTTGGACGAAAAGCGAACTTTGTTCTTTACAACGAAATAGCCATCCAAATAGATAGACAGCACATAGCTGGATTAGCGACGAACGCGATAATTATGAAAACTGCATAATCATGTATCTTAACGAGGGGCGTAATTGCAAATGCACGTGCACTGCTTCATAGGTTTTTGTTCCTTAGCTACGAGAAACGAGATGGAAACTCGTCATATTCTAAGCAAAAACAGAACGAACAGAAAAAGTTGGAGCGAGAAATCACGAGCGTTATACGAGCGATAATGTATTTCGTATTCGTCGAAATTAGGTTAAAAATGATCCGAATATTCTTGACTAGCTTAATTACATACAATATTCTCAATGGCACCTTATCATTGTGTCTATAGTATATTTTATATATATAATCCTATTAACAAGCAGGAATTGTATCCACGATGATCGCGAAAGGGATGCCGAGAAAACTTTTCGGAAAATCGTAGCTCGATTTCCACAGGAGCTCGAAGTCCACGATAATTCGTATTGAAGGCACGCCGTGTTATTCACGGTCGAGCCTTGATTGCAGTTGTCGGGGGGAATCCGTAATTCCTCCGGGCCGCTCGTTCGCTGCAGCCTGAATTTGTTCAGGTAAATTTAGGCAGCGTCGGTCGTTCACATCGATCTCCAGTCAAAAACCTTGCTGCCAACCGAAGAGGCTGCGGAAGGTCGCCACTCTTCACCAAACGGTGAAACCTTTCGCTTCTCTCACGTTCGCTTGGAGCCACGTGACGCTATTATTCTCTAATCGCTTCCTGGTCTCTAATGGCTCATACAGATACGTCCAACGATTTAGTCGAGTGGCGAGT